ATCCGCCTGCCCCCCGCCCCCACACGGCCCCACGGCCTCCCATATGCTGTCTCTGAATCTGGTGACTCTGGATGCCTCCCACTGTGCTGTTTTTTTTTTTGAAAGCACTAAATTTGGAAAATCGTTGGCAAATATTCTGGAAGTGAAATGAACGTTAAGATCCCGAATGTTCTGGATTTACCGGACGTGTGTGTGCGTGTGTGCACATGCGTGTGCAATGTGTATGCATGTGCTTGCGTGTGTGCGCGTGTGTGCCTGTGAGGGGACTGTGAAGGGCTGGAAATGGGGCCTGGGCTCCTCGTTCCGTTTCCTTCCTCGTGAGATCACAGGGACCTCCCCCTCCTCGTTTTCCTTCTCCTTCCGGCTTGAAGTGGCTGGTGGGGGCCACCAGTCCCTCTCTGTCCTTGTCTTTCGATGGCGACAGCCTGTTCCTGTGGCTGCGGCTCTCGCTACTGGATAATGGAGCAGAGGGACACCACGCTCCTCCCGGTCCCCTCCCTGCCCACGTCAGCTTCCTCCTAAAACGGATGCCTCAGAGTAGCTTCTACGCAGACAGCAGGAAAGCTTAATCGGCATGAGATAAAGGGAAAAACCCGACTCATTCCACATCTGCCGGGTGTCGCTTCTCACCTGGACCGTCCGACGTGATACATTCTGACACTGATACATTCTAGCACCGATCATGCCCGCCCCACCCCCGCCCCACCTACAAAACTGGTTACTGTTGCTCTGTGCACACCAGCGGCCGCAGAACTGTTCTGTACGTAAATATTTTCTCAGAGTCAACATCATAATAAGGTGCCTGTCCCAATGACTCTGCCACTGTTGCCCCAAACAAACAGCCGCAGATGTTCGGGCGTGGCTGTGCTCAGAAGAAACTTCTGTCCAAGCGCTGGCGGCAGAGGCAGCAACACGCTCACAATCAAAGTCCCACGAGACAAGTCCCACGAGACGTTAAAAAGCAAGGGCGACAATTAAACCACGTCCTGACCTAAAGCAATCTGGCAACACAGGAGCCAAACGCGAACTCGCTAAAAACGTCACGGAAGCGGCACAGCACACTGGCAGCTGGTGTCACATCTGCTCAGAGCCTTCGCGGAGGCATCCAGGGAATCTGTGGGGCGGGACGCACTGGCCCGTGAGCACCATCAGAGCAGGAACCACCTTAGCACAGTGACCGAGAACGCAGGCGACGCTTGATCAATATTTGCACAAGCGAATTCTGTTTCCGGCCTGTGCCCTGATGACAGATGCGTAAATGGCGAACCTCAGCTGCTCAGACTGGCTGCTGGAGAAGGACGATGCTCACTGCCTTCCTCTACCCAATTCTCTGTGGAACACTTTGTCTGCGTGCGATTCGGTGCCAGCCTGAATTCATTCTCGTCCCTCTCCCTCCACCGAGCAAGGGGCGAAAGACCATTTCGCAAACACTCCCATTTCAAAGACGACACGTCCAAACACCTGATGTGTGCCATGTCTGTGATCGGTTTTCTGCTCTGTCTACAGCGAAGAGGGGGAGCAGGTGTCTGAAAACACCCAAGCGTGGCACCGACTCGCAGCTCCTGCGTCAAGCCTTCAGACAGCTGCCACACGGGCCCCCGGGGGAATCGCCCACGTTTCAGGTCTGTGTGACTCCTGGGGGACAGGCCCAGCTGCTCAGAAGAGGGCACACTGGGCAGTGGGCGTGGAGTGGAGAAGGCCCGGACAGGGGCTTGGCACAAAAGAAGGAAGTGACCCGTGAAGGACCCACCTGCCTGATGACTGGGGGACAGACAGGACGTGTGTGGTGCTCTAGCCAGTGGCTGGAACTCACCTGTAGCTAACTTATCACTGACACGCCAATGAATGCTAAGCTGCCGAAAACGCTAGAGAATTCATCTAAAATCTGGCTCTCGAGTCTCTCGTATGTTCATTTGCTTAGCAAACCCTCCATAAAAATAGAAAACACAGACTTCCACATAGAGCCCACACTGGTGAGGTCCTCAGAAGAACGCGGAAACTCGGCCGAGAGGCTGCACGGAGCTTAAAGTTTAAAGCAGTTTCCTCATTCTAAGAGCGAGTGACCCCAGGACCACAGATTAAATGTTTTCTGTGGCAGGCTGCTGCCGTCTTTAATGGCCTGTGTGGTTCCCGGACACCCAGGAAGCGATTTCGAGACGGTCTGAACAAACGCAAAACGCACAGAGTCTGACCGTTTACTGAACACTTATGGCCTCTGTGCCCGGCACAGGGCTGGGTGCTGAGGGTCTAAGGGCAAGAAAGACAAGGTCCCCGTTGCCGGGTGCTTCAGTGCCAGACAGGGGCCACGGGCAGGCCTCGGGGCCCGGCTCTGGGCTCTAGCGGAGCCCCCCGCAGCCCGCATTGTGACACCTGACGCCTGGAATGAGGTCACAGGCGCCAAGGGGGCTGCTACTGGCATGTGCGCCCCGCACCTTGGTGGCGAAGGAGATGCATCGGACCCTGCTGATTTTCACGTGTGCTTCCAAGGACGAGATTCCTGCGGTCCTGCGGTGCAGAGGCCCTGCCCACAGGGCGCATAAGGCCGCGGACAGAAACGATGCTTCTTTTCAGAATGTCCATTGCAGTCAACAGTCAATGAGTGAAAATATTTTATATTCAACTCAAAAGATGCCCAGAAGCAGAACGTGAAATTGAATCCGATTTTAAAGATAAAACCAAAGATTTTAAAGAAATGTCACACGTGTCGCAGGCCACTTGGGGCCATGTGCCCTGATCCTAGGGATAAAGCGTCGCTCCCCACCGCTTAGACCAGAGGTGGGAGAGGACGGCCCGGCCTAGGGCCTCACCGCTGACCCCCAGCCAGGTTCCCTCCTGCCTGCCTCCAACCCTGACACCTGACAGTGGAGAGCCGAGCGGGGGGTCCCCACGAAACCCCGACGCCACACAAACAAGCTCGATGGCAGAGGGATCCGACGCCACGCACGGCGCGTGCTATCTGCCGGCTCCTGGGGTGGGCGGTTCCCAGACCCAAGGTCCTGGACGATGCCAGTATTTCGGTTAGTCATCGTGGGCTGTTGAGTCGAGTCTCCAGCTCCCAAGGAACACTTGGCAGTTAAAATTAACGAGCCGTCCCAGCCAAGCTGTCCTCAGTTCCCACGTGGCTCTGCGCCCCGCCCCCACAGGACCCCGTGCGGGGCCTGCGACACCACGTGGACGTGTTTTGAGCACCAGGATGCCAAGGACAGGCGCAGAGAGAAGCCCGCATCCACGCACTTTCTCTTCGGCTCAGACGCACACAAAATGCCGAGCTTGTCTCAGGCCGAATGACTCAGGGACGCGTGTCACTGTGGCTCTCCAGCCAGCCAGAGTCTGGGGATCTGTAAATGTTGGCAGAATCCTGCCTGAATGTTACTTGAGATCAAAAACACCTCAGTGTCTTGGCTTCCGCTGCATTTTTGAGAAAGTCATGTTCAACTGAGACATTGTGTTTCTACGTGGATTCATCTCGGGGGGTGTGTGTGGTCGGGAGGGTGGGGCCGGGCGGCTTCTGAGTTCGCTGAGCATCTGTCAGCCGCATCTGTCGCTCTGGGCTCGAGACGCCCCTGGGTGCTTCCCTCGCTGTCTTCGCTGCTGGCATCTCGCATACCGATGTCATTAGACACTGTCTGCCCTGTGCCTGCGATCCAGCCAGCACAGTCCCCGCACAGCAAGCTTCCTCTGTCAGAGCAGACACACCGGCTGCAGCCACAGCCGGAAGCAGGGTGACCACAGCGCTAAGGTTCTGGTTAGTTCTTTTCTAGGTAAAGTAGGAAAAGTCCCTGCAGAGGCAAACACTGAAGTCTTAGACACGGGGGCGGCACTGACCTCTCGAAACGTCCTTGACTGGAA